AAACCTATAAATCATAGAACATTCAGCCGATCGACGCAAAAACTAATTGCACATTAAAAAAAAAATAAGAGAAGAAGATTCGAAAAACTAACCTGAGAGAGCAAGTAAGATCAGCAGCTTTAGCGAAGTCATTCTCTCGTCTTGCTTTCAAGATTTTGAGCATGATATCAAGGCGAAGTTGAATTTTGTCGCTTGCCTGAGATACAAGTTCAGTCTCCTTTTTGAGCTCATCACATTCTGATTCTATCTCTTCAAATCTTTCTCTTATTTCCCTTTGCCCTTGTCTGATGGATTGTTGCTGCTTCCTAATCCCTGCCATCTCTGCTTTCAGTCTGTTTATTTTTCTATCTACCCTTCTTTTCTGGGAATTACGTGTTGAACACATAGACATATCAATCATAATAGGGGAAAAATCAATATTAATTGGAATCTCAAGAACAAAGATTGCAACAACGAATACATAATAAAAATTCTGATACCTCACAACTTCCAGAATGCCTCATAATTGATTTTTGCTGCCAGTACTTGCTTGATGCCATGATAATCATCTCTTGTAAGGACTAGCACTTTATATACTGAGAACATGCACGATCCCGCCGAACAAGTTATAATCTTTCGCTGCTGACAAGTTCCAATTGGACGAAAGATTGCAGTGCTCGTTAAGTAGAGTATTCTTCGGGCACAAGTTTGATGGTGAGTGCGGGATATGATCAATTTCGCACGATTTGTCAATATTAAGCTTTTGGGCATCGCCGGGTGTCCCTCGATTCATTTCAATATTTGAATGACAAGATTACGCGATTTGATCGTTTCAAATTAATTTAGCACTTGTAACATCCGATTCTATTTAAGAATATACTTCTCGTCGGATCATAGTTTTCCACCTATGTATAATGAAAGTACTGTGAAGCATCTAATCAATCTTTCTATAAATTATTTTTTATTTAAAAAATATTAAAGTTTTATATCGACTTGTATATATCTAATCAATCTTTCCAATTCTTTTCCCAAAATTATTCTTTGAAATTATTTCAATGAATTGTCTACCTTTTTCCTTTTCTGAAAAGTTTCAAATTTTTTTATCCAAATTAGTTCAGATAATTAGACTAATTCGAAAATTTTAACAGTGTTCACCCCTATTTTAGTGTTTATTTTTTTTGGAGTATTGTATACTGTTCAAGAATATATTGAAATCTTCTTTCCTTATTTTAGAACCGGCCCGTCTTGCTCCTTTTGCAATATAAAATATAACTGTTGTTTTTGATACCTTGGTAAAAATTATTTTTTAAAATATATAATTATATTTTTTTATATTAATATACCAAAATAATTTAAAATCATTAAAAAAATTAATTTTAAGTAGAATAAAAATTTTAAAATTTGATGAAACACGATTTCTATCTCAAAAACTTTAAGATTCCTCGGAGATACTTAACTCAGTTTATATTAGTTTGCATGTCTGTAATATTTTATGGGAAATCAAAATTTTTTAAACATAAAAAAATATTATGGTCTTAGAAAATTCTTTGATATTATTATTAAATATAAAAATATATTCATTTTAAATTTCTTTTTCAGCTTATATAAAATACAATTTTTTACCTGAATCATTATTTCTCTTAAAACAAAAATATTTAATGATTGTCAATGCAAATTAATAAAAAAATCAATATAATATGTCCATAATTTATATGTGATTGAAAGCTAAACAATTTATAAATATATTAAAATTAAAAGTTTTAAGAATAAAAAATAATTTGAATTAAATTTTCATGAACAATTTATTATTAGTATTATTATTTTCATATTAGATATACAATAATTAAAAAAATTCAAATAAAAATTTATAATACTGAAGAACGATGTCAAGATAAAAAAAAGAAAAAGAAGAGTGAATATTATTAAATTCTTTTAAAATGATAAAAAAAAATGGACAAAGAAAGCCAGTCCTGCGCATGCGCCTTGCTTTATTTTTTACAGGCAACAGAATGTTTATTTGAAAATAAAGGTGCCAATGTCGCTGCGACTTGTGTGCTAGCCATACATTTTTCTTTTATGAATTTGTAGTTTTTTTTTTATTTTTACAAGTAGATAATTATTAGTGGTTAGTTGATAGTGTTAAAAAAATAAATAAAAATCTGGCTTAATATCTGTCATCGCATGTAATTGACAGGAGCACTCCAATAAATATGGGGATCTACTTAGGACGGTCTCTTGCATGAACAACTAAATTTCAAACAAAAATCGAAAATTGAACCCTTGATTGCCACTTCCAAGGAGCCAAATACCCATAGATATGAATTTGCAGTGAACCCCACATATTTGAATGAAACTTGTGGTAAAAGAAAATTGTGATCATAAGGTGGTGCCGGTGCTTTTATACACAATCCAAACAAGGTGATAAATATTAACAATTTAAGCTAAAATGGTGTTTCGATCTGATATATGATCTAACTAACTTGACCGCTTCTTAGTTGTCATCTATTAACTCTTGACAGCTAAAACAGATAGTAGAGAGGACTCACTTGAGCTTTTAATTCCTTTTCCGCTAACTACTATGCGATCTTGCTCTTGATTGAGGCAAATATAAATGTTAAAAAAGAAATCTGTTACTTACAGTCTGAAAATAAGTAAATATCCATGTAGAATCTGAAGATAAAAGTTCGAGAGAGAATTCACTCTGAGGAACTTTCCCAGCACAAGCACCTCAGGTTAGTACTTGTAATCCCTTGTTCTTCTTTTTAGTTTCTATGGAGACATATTGTTAGCTTCTTGGAATGAATACTCCAATAAATGAAGAATATTTATCAGGAGGAGTTATTTAACTTGCATGAGTCTGCGTTGCTCTCTATATTATGTATGCCAAACGCCAAAAATCAGGAGAGTTATTACAAAATATGTCGAATGAATCAATATTATCTCTGTCAAAGATGCAACCTGTCAATTCATCTTGGGCCATTGAAACAAATACCAACAGTACCAAAATCAGAAATTTGCAAATACGTAAAAAAATAAATCAAAATGCCTTTTTTCTCAACTTTAATAATGTATACCTGTATATCTTCTGATGTGTTTCCTGAACAGGATTTGGACTACAAAATGAACCGCAATGAATTGGAGAGTGATTCGTTAATGCTTGAACATACAATTGGAGCTTGTATCACAGGGCCCTTCGGGGGTTTCTGTTTAACCTTCCTGATTAGCATGATTAAGCATTTGAGAGCAACAGACGTCATTAATGTGGTGCTGATGGTCATAATTGGCTTGGCGACAATATATTTTTTCCTAGTTGCTTTTATATGCTCCTTTCGTCTGTTCAAAGAGATTGCGAAACGGAGGAGGAAGGTGTCTGTTTCTCCAGAGCCAATCGCTGCATAAACTATTCATGGATTAATAGTAGTTGTTATAATTAATCAATCTCTAAGTTCAATGCAATTGGTTTCATTTCCTTCCAGCTCTTGGTATAGTCTATTTAGTTTGATCATAGTATTAAATGGGAAGCTTTTAAGCAGGATATGGCTTTTCTGCCTTGTCCCCGATTTCTTCTTCTTGCAGTGTTTCTGTTTCTGTTCTTGGATGTTGTTGGGTCCACTGTTTTTAAACATGGCACTCGACTTCTGAGGCATTCATCAGAATGTTTTTGAAACTTGGATGATACACGACATAAGGATCATATACCACTTGCCAGTCACACCAGAGGATGAGCGGTATTTTTGCTTTACCATATGCTCCGTCTTCTGAGTTGTAATTAATTTGTTATATTTTGTAATTTAATTGTCTTTATCAAAAGACTAAAAGCTCATTATCATATATCATCCATGAAGTGGTCGTTATATAGTAGTGCATACAATACTGTATTAACAATTCCACAAACCTTGCTATAGCTCAACAGCTTTGCAGTAATACTAGTTTTACAATTGCAGGTGATGATGTTCCAAAATATGAAAAGCTCAAGAATGAGGTTACTGGTGTTTAAATAATGATGAATCATGTATTCATATTCCTGTTTCCTTCTTTATAGCTTAGGAAATACATGATTAGTGATAGAAGTCTTGATACTTATAAAACAGTCTATTTTGATTAGGTTTATATTGATCTGATGATAAAATTAGTAATTTTTAAATAAAAAAATATAATAAACAAAGAAAAAAGCTTTAAATTTCAAGAATAAAGATATTTGTTATTGTATTGGTATGATAAATACTCTAAAAGTTAAGTTATGAATGTTTGAAGAATAAAAATTTTAAATTTTTTACTTGGATATGGATAGTTTAGGGAGTATTTATAATCTCTGAAACTTGTTATTTTGATAGAGTGGAGGGACTAATGAGTTAGATAGCCCAAATAGAATTAATGAGAGATAAAAATTTCTTACATATTATTAACGAGGAATAAATATCCCTTACAAAATCATTAATGACATGAAAATATTGTAAACTCTTAAAAGACTTTTACATGTCTATAGAGATAGACATATAATTATTTCTAACATGAATAGTTATCTTAATAGTCTTAATATATAATCTTAAAGTTCTAATATGGATCTTTAACTACCTTTAGACTAATTAGGTTCGACGTGTAGCTAAGTCTAGGAGAGAAGAGCCTAGTAATTTACTAGAAATGTGCTATCTTGGACTTAGCATATGGCTGAAAACAAAAATGTTGAGTTTGATAAATTATCAGATTTATATCATTTTGAGCTTGACACATAGTTAGACCCAAGTATGCCAAGACTAGTAATTTGTTATATCAACATTGTATTGGGCTCAACACTTGACTTATCTTAAGTACAATTATCAAACTCACATTACCTTGAGTTTGGTATATGGATGTGTTCAAGCATACCGAGTGTGATAACTTGCAAGACTTATATTATATTGGACTTAGCTTATAATTGAATTCAAGTTTACTAGGTTTAAAAAACTTGCTAAATCCATATTAATTTAGGTTCAATACATAGACAAATTTAAATATAATATATATTATATTGGACTTAGCTTATAATTGAATCCAAGTTTACTAGGTTTAAAAACTTGCTAAATCAATATTAATTTAGGTTCAATACATAGACAAGTTTAAATATTTTAGGTTTAACAACATGCTAGAAAAATATATTTGCTTCACTTTATATCATATGTTTTTTCACAAAGACATAAAAAATATTGACTCATTAGGAGGTGTGTTAGTGTTTTTCTAAAATTAAAAAATATTTTTCTAAAGGCCTATTAGAAAAGTGCAATTAGAAATGGGCAATATTATTATTATTATTATTATTATTTTTGGATAAAGTAAAGGCGAAGTTCCAGTAAATTATAGTAAGTATAATTTGTTCTCTATAGAAAAGACGCATAAAAGAGCCTTTGTTTTTTCTCGGAAGGGGGATAGTCACAACTCACAATCACAAAACGAATCCCAATTTTGTATTGAAGTGTATTCATGTCCAGATATTTTCTTTTAAATTGATTAATGATTATTTTGAAACATGAAATTCAATTTTATAGGCACCTTAAAACCTGGAGAAAAAAAAAAACAGATTATGTTCGGTATGAATGTAAAAATCTTAAATTTTGCTCCTGTAAAATTAAAAAATGCTTTACGACTAAAAATGGTTAAAAGGAGTCTGAACTTTACCCTTAAAA